CATTTGCGGGCGGCGCGGCCGCAGGGAACGGGCACGGGCTGCGCTCGGCTCGGCTCGGCACGGCACAGCCCGCAGCGGCAGCGGCAGAGACCCAGCCAGGCTGGCCGGGCAGCCCGCTGCTGACCGGGGCGTGCAGAGGTGCGAGGAGAGCGCAGCCTGCACGCAGGCTCCTCTCAGCCCAGCCCACCGCCAAAATGTATGAATTGCAGCAACTCAACCCAAAATGGTCGAGGAACCGCGGCCTGGGGGCTGTCAGTAAGAGCTTACCGCGGCCCTTAAGGGAGAACGCAAGGATGCCTTGCGGTGATGAGAGCTTTTGGGATCTTGGCGGTCGCAGCCGCCTGTGCTGGCCCTGGCACGGCCGCGAGCACCGGCAGCTCTCCTGGGAAAACCATGGTGGAAAGCTGAGGCTGGCTGGGAGCAGAGCACAGTCACGGCACCCTGAGGAACCCACTTTTTGCTGCACGGGTGTGCTACAGGCCACCATCCTTTCAGTGCAGCAAGACCAGCTCTGCTCCAGCTCCACAGCCACAGCAGAAGTAAAGCCCTTTTAAACCATGTAAATCCCGTGTCAGATTATAAGCTTATAGAAGCGGTTACTTGACTTCATGGAAGGAACATGACCTGAGGAAAAAAAAAAAAATCAGTATGAAAAATCCTGTCTCTAGTTACTTTGAATAAATGCCAGTCTGGTCCCTAGTATCTCAAAAAGTTTTGTTGTAGGTAGCATTTGTAGTGCATATGGGAGAGATATTTAAAGAAAACTTATGAGTCAACTAAAGTCACCTTTTCTCCCAAAACAAGCGTTGGGAAATAAACAACCAAAGAGTTAAATGTGGCACTCACTGTACCTTGGAAAGGTTTAGATAGTGAGGGGCACCCTTAGAGACAAAGATGTGAAGCTATGGCCTGCAAAGCCATACCCAAATTACAACACTGGTGTTCTGCCTGATGTGTGAACTCATCTGGAAGGAGGTTATGGTACAGGTTATACCATCATGAGGACTGCAGAATCAAAAGGAAAGATGAATGATTAAGGCACTGGAAATATGCACATGTGAGCAGAGAGTTAAAAAACAAAATAGCTTCAAAAAAAGAAAAGCTTCAGCCTCATCTCTAAGAAAATAGAGATGGGAAGTTTAAAGGTACGTGCCTAGAAATGGTAGAGTAGAACAGAAAAAGAGCCCTCATTTTGGATTTATAGCATAAAAAGCAAGGAGACTATTATAGCTTAGCAAATTAGAAGCAGATTGAAGGAGATACTTTTTCACTCAGCATAACTCCATGGTTGGATTCACTACCAAAGATCATGGCTGGGGCCAGGAAGCCAGCAGAATCAACAGAAGATGGCATGCTTAGCAGCCAACACAAACGTTATCATGTTCTTCACTGTTATGAGCTGTCAGAGGCTATTTTAAATCCAGAAACCAGAATTTAAACCTGTTCCAGAAGTCCAAACGAGACCTGTTTTTAAGGAAGAATTCTCACGTAACCATACAAACAAAACATTGTGCTGCTTTCTTGACCAGTGTCAGGTACTGGATTCAACAGACCTGCCTCCATTCCAGTCAGGCACAACCTGGAGCTGTGAAACATCGGGCTTCACCGCCACCTGGCAGTGTTATTAGCATGAGGAGGCGGCTGAGGAGAGATTCCCATCTCCTGGTACTAAGCTGCGTGCTTTTTAAGCACTGAGGCTTCTGCTGAAGAGATGAAAGACTAAAGAAGAGCTTCCTCTCTTCAGAGGCAAAAGTTCTCAAGACTGATGATTAGAATATCTATTTTCAAAAAGCTGTAAGTGTAAAGGTTGGTAGATGAGCAAATGCACACACATCAAAAAGATGCCTCTGAACTTCGGAGTGATACAAAATATAGAAGTGCTTTACTGCCATTTGACAGCCCAAGATCACATTCGTATTCACAGATACAAAGCATACAGGGTTACCAGGTGTTCAAAGTGGGAGGCTGCCAGGGTGCCCTGAAAGATGGGTATGCACAGAACATAGTGTCCACCTAGGGAAAGCTGACAGAGGAGAAGAAAGATAAGGAATATTTTATGGGAAGAAGGGGAAAACAATTTTCTGGCATTTTATCTGCTTTTGAATGCCTTACTTATGCCCCAACCCTTTTCCTCATCCTCCCCTGCCCTGATTCTCCTTCATCCCTTTACCATCTCTGGTAAATACTGTTTATATGGTTTCACTGTCCAGCTTTGGCTCTATCTCAGCAGCAATGCTCTGCCTCCACTTCTGAAGCAGCCAAGTGGAAAGGTGAATATCAGTCCTCTGCAGCTGGCAGCCTGAAGAGCGGGGTTACTGCACATCTCTAGCTCTGAGCAGGGTCACAACTCACCAGCCTTCTATGGATGTCCCTCTGCTTTGTCTGTGTGGCACACAGAGCTATCTCTGAATGACAGGGCAAGTGTTGCAGAGAAATCCTTGTCAGGAGGAGGACTGACTGAGGTTCTTACTGTTTAAGAAGCCTCGAGATTGCCCTTGACCTGCAGATCCATTCACTGGCATCTCGAGTAATTCTCAGCAGCTCAGGGAAGACCTGACCTCACACACACAGGTTTTTACCAAGCACTAAGTCTACAAAAGCCAGGAAAAAGCACCAGCATGTAACAAATAACCCTGACATACCCACGATGATTTCTAGGTGCTCTCTGTGAATAGAGCTGTACTACTAAAAAGCCTTGTTTAATTAGTTTCAGATGCCAGCCTGATGGCAAGGCAGCCCTTTAGAGAAACTGCTTTAAAGGTTCCAGGACTGATACATGAAACAACAGCGACGCAGATGCAAACCTGTCTCCTCCACTGCCAGACATGTCTCACTGAGCAACATCTTCGTCTATATACAGTCTGCCATCTTTCCAATTATCCCTGTTTTGTCCTCTGTGTAAAATAAGTGTCCCACTAATACATTTTTATGTTGAGGTGATGAATAATACAACACAAACTGTATCTAACAGTTGAAAACACCTGCATTTGCAACAGAAAGCCTTCTGGCAATCTGGGTAGAGAGCAAGACATCAAAGCAGAAGCACTGTTGAAAGGGAGCCTGGAGAATCTAAGAAAGCAGTAAAATAAGAAACTGATGTAAGCTCTTTCCTAAATGTACAGATTAGTTACTTTTAAGTCTAATTTTCCCATAATGAGGAAATTAATTTTTTTATTGTTTAGCCTGTAAAAAAAAAAATTGGAAATGTATATACTGATTTTAAAAAGAGCAGAGTATCTTTTACAGAGTGTTTTTTTTATCTATCTATAGTCCTTTGTATTTCTTTCTAGGCCCACTGTTACATCTGCACTGCTGAGCACGGCACTGTTCAGAGCTTGTGTGTTACAGAGAGAAAGGTCTGCATGTTGTATGCCTGAGGTTTCCTACACCTCAGAGCTGCTACAATAGGCTCAGGTTATGCACTGAATTCAATTCCTGCCTCGTTTGCCTTTCTAGCTGGAAAAAAAGGTTGGTTTTAGGAAAGGGAAGGTATAGTAATGAGCTCAACAACCCATCCTCGGTTTATGCTGAGGTATAACACTTCCTAACTCACAGTTCCCAACCCTTTCAAAGGACATCTAAGAGACTAAAACAACCTTTACTTTTTAGGTCTCTTAAAAGGGCATGAGATGCCAGTTTGTTGCCTCTGGGTCAGCTCAAGCACAGTGCAGAAACACTCCTATCTAGCCTTTTAAATCTTATAGTAGCACAGAGCAGAGCTGGCATACATGTGTAAAGATTCTGAGCTTTAATTCATTGATTTGAGATTTTCAAATTTTAAGCTCCAACTGACAAGGAATAATGGTGGATGTGTTTGTGCTGGCATGGCTACAGAAGTGATTGTGTTTAGATTTTTCCATTCCAATGTATCTAGAATCAAGAGATCATATTTGAAGTTAAACCACGCTAAATAAAATTTATCTGCACTGCCTACAAACCTGGACAAACTCCTTACAATCCTAAAAATGTTGATAGATTTTTTCTGTATAAATCTCAGATCAGTTGTGAGTATATCTTGGATATTTTGTTTGTTTGTTGGAAAATCAGACTGTGGAACTAACCAGGACCAGATGCAAAAGCTGAAGGTTTTGTATAATGAGCTGATATTCATCAGGGTCAGTATATTTCTTCCCAACCAGTGAGCTCTGAAATGCATTGAATCAAATTCAGAATAAACTCTTGGGATGATAGCAAGGGTGTTAAAACATTCCCAAATCAAAAAATAAGAAAATCCTATCAAAAAGTGAAAATAAACACAGTCCTGAGTTGCAATTTTGGCTTTAAACACTTTAGTAATACCAAAGACATGATGGAGGCAATTCTGCCTGTTGCTGTGGTCTTTGGATGAGGCTTAAGCCAAGTTTACTGTCATTGTGCCTTAAACAGAAGGAATTCCAGGTTAGATCTTGTTTCCCTAGTAAGAAAAAAAAAAAAAACATTATTTTTGATATCCTAATTTCAAATATAATGAGAAAATTTTATGGTAAAGGTAAAAAATTTGGAGATGAAACTCTGGGGAGGAAACAGATTGATACATGGAAGACTAATTACAGCATTTACATGGTTGGTCCTCTCCATCTCTCCATAAAAGCTCACATTTCCTTATTGCATTTCATCTATTTTCATTCCAATAAGTACAGTCCTGCTTCTTTATTGTGAGGCTGTGAAGTATAAATACTTATCAGTAACACCTTGAAATAAAATCTATTCTGCAATAGAAGAAGAGTTCCCTTGCCACCTAGGGTAATTTTTCACGTTAGTCACTTCAGTTTGAACTTGCCTAGCTCCAGGAAATCCTGTCTAATACCAGTTTTCTTTAACAGTTAATATCAAGCTGACACCTACACATCTACACATTCCTATAGAATAGGAAAGTATGAGAAAATGCTAACTTTTGAAGAGGGAAAACTGTTAAGCTCCCTTTGCCAGCACTAAAAATCAAACTTTATATGTCACTGTCCTCATGTGGGTGGCCTGCTTTCAACAATGGTGGCCTGTTTTCAACACCTTCTAAAGAAGTTTTAATTCAGTCTAATACCACATCCTGTAACACACTCAGCATCTCTCTCAAAATCTTGCATTGGGTACATCCAATGTTCTTCTTTTCCAGTGTAAGTAAAAAATCCTATTACTGAGGAGAAAACAAACTATGTCACTGGTGTATATAAAGTCACTGAAACTTGAGTGAGAATTTACTATCACTATAATTGGAATTGTCCCCCTGAACAATTACCTAAATTCAGTGGGGCCACTAGAAACGGATTCTGTTCCATATTCCCTTCAGAATCCCTGTTTGACTGCCCTCTAACATTTTTCTTACATCCTGATGCCTTAAGTGATTGTTCATGAGGGATGAATTTTCCTGTGACAGTGCTTAAATACAAAATTGGATAATCCTATGCCATTTCAGCATACTATTTCACATAAGTTTTGCTTTAAAAGGTTTTTTCCCCCTTTATTTATTATTATACCAAATTTTGCACTGTAATTTTGCACTCATCTCTAGCACTTATACTCTTTGGAGTTTGCTGAACCATTTACATTATTTACATATCAATCAAGGCAGCTATAATACCAAACAAAAAAGACATATTATCAAAAAATACCCCTGCCCAAAGTAGATGCCTCTTCCCTATAAGACAGGTGTAAATTCATAGGAAACCAGATGCAGGTTTACAGCCCGTGAATAATATTTCATTTGGGTGGGGTTTTTGCCTTCTAAAAATCAAGGATCATTTTCATTTCTGATCCCTTTCCTGTTTTGTTTTGTTTTCATGGAATCACAGGAAAGATGGCAATGGAAGAATCTCATTTCTGGAGATCATTTTACACTCAGCCAGCAAGAGGGCAACATATGGCATCTTCCTTTGTCCCAAGTGCACAGGACCCTGAGGTGTCCTTCCAAGACAAAAGTAGGCTCTTCCACACCTTTCAGAATTTCAGAAATTCTTGCAAGCTGTTAGCAAATGGTAGCATGTCTTATCCTGCTGATAGGCTAAGAAAATCTCAGACTGCTTCTTCATATGAAATAGTCTTCCCTTTGCAGCACGGTGAGGAAACAAATGTACTTAGTACTACAGAACCCCAGGATAAATCTAAAGCTAAGCACACCCTTCATAACTATTCTGTGAAAGTATACATAGGAATTACTTCCAGCTATTGTTAAAAAAAACCCAACAAACAACTCAAACATTGAAATGATACATCTAAAACTGTCTACCCGAGCTGAGAGTTTACTTTTAAATGTTCAGACTTGGCTGTGGGGGAACGACACAAAAAGCCAAACAAAATCCTGCCTAATATCAGGGATATTCCCATTTCAGATAGTTCAAACTCAGATGTGACTTATTTGCCCTTAAAAGCTGTTAACTTCACCTGACAATGAGCCAGAAAATTGAAATGCTCCCAGCAGAACTTGTAAGTAGAACCAGAAGTGCTTTGCCATAGGTGTTCGGGTGGAACATCACAATAATGACCTTCTCATTTTATACCCTCTAGCTTTCTTCCATCAAACATGATTGCTCAAAGTCGTCAGTTTCTTAAAAAAGAAAAAAAAAATAGAGCCTCAGATTTTAAGAGAATTAACATTCCGTTACACTTTAGCACAGAGCTGCAATCAAATTAAAATGAGGTTGAGTTCACTGTACAAAGAAAAAAGATTTGAATGGTTTTGTTTGGAATCAAAGCAGCTGGAAAATTGGAAACCAGCTTTAGAATAGCTGAGCATTTTTATAGCGAGAAAACATTCTACAGTCTTCAAAATCTTCAGATCATATTTAAGATTAAATACTATCAAGTTATTATTTTCTTTTGCTTTCCTTAAAATTATCCAGCTGGTAAAACTTTCCAAAAGGAGCAGGAATAAGTATTTAAATTATTGTCTTTCCACACTCTTTCCACTAGAATGGGCTAAATATATTTGATCTTGAGATGGAAACACCTGATTTTCCTTCAGAATTTATGCAACGCATTAAGTTGGCTTAGTGCAATCATCTGCACTTCTTGCCAATCTGTGACACTATTCGTAGTATGACTGCTTTACATCACCTTTGTAACGCCATAAAATGTCACATTCACGTTAGAGGTGACAAACTGAGGCGAGAGCTAGATGATTTGGTTTGGCTGCAGCTGCACAGAAAGCCTCTGGATAAGCTGGGGAACGATCACTTGATCTTCCCCAAAACAGCCATCCCCAGCGCATACCAATCAGTTTCTGGGTAGCGTGTGCCAGGCGCTTCCCCAGTCCTCCATATTCGCCAGAACAAGGACAGGATGAGAGCGCCTTGCTTACTCAGTGCTTCCCTAAATCACAGCCTAATGCAACTGGTGATAATTTCAAATGCACAGATACACTAAATTAACTTAAACTGCTGGCTGAGAATTTCTGTTTGCAAACGCTATTAATGTTATTGATTTCAGAGCGCTGTTTTTCACTTTACCTCGACAGATGACTGAAGCTGTGGCCAAATAGCTCAACATAAGCTAAATGTGAGACACTGTGTTCAATAATGTGGGCCAGCCTAAAGAGCCCTTTTCTTTCTGTGTTTCAGCATGTTCTTATAAAATGCTTTATTTCAGTGTTTACTAGGTGATGTGGCCATCAAAGTTTAACAGCTCTTTGCTGGGGAGCCCCCAGTTTCCACTGGAGAATATCAGGGCAGCATTTTTTAGGCCGGAGATGCATTAAAATAAGACTTCCACTTTAAAAAATTAGGTTCTTCAAAGAGACTTCTCCTCCATGGCAGAAGATAACATAAAGAAACTTTTCTTATGTAATTTTGAATTAAAAACAAAGGTCAATCAAATAGTATACATCTTTCTAGTAAACACTGTAAAAAAATTACATGGAAACAAAATTACCTGAATCTGTGCAGATTATTATACAAGGAGATGACTGTTTTACATCTTTTTCTTCATTTTGCTTTGCATAAACCAATCTCTTTTTTGGCCTCTCAGACCCTTTTGAGACAACATCCACTTTATCCAAAATTATTGTAGATAGATATTTACAGATTTTCTATTTAATATCCAACACAGGAACTGCTACTTTGACTCTTTGGGATTTCTTCACACCTCCTTATCAGGTTGACAGTTTCCTGTTCTTCTTCCAAGCCAAAGCCCATTACTTTCCTTGCATGGATACTGCATTTTCCCTTCTATTCTTCCAGTTGTGTTCATGTGCCTGTTTCATTCATGTGCCAAACACTTATTCCAGTCTGGGTCATAACATCTGTAACATGACTGCAACCATGCCCTTCAACCCCCCTTCAGGTGCAGCAAGCTACAAATTATGCCTGCCTGAAAGCAGGGATGATTCCAGCTTCACACCAGATGTATTATTTATGACTAAATCAAAAAGAGACTGTGAACAATGCAACTCTCATTCAGTGAACACACAGACACGGTACATGCTATGGAGAATAAGAAACCAGGGAGATGATCTGAATTGGGAAAGGATGTGATGCAGTCACTTAAAAAAAATAATAATAATTATGTAAGCTCAGTCACAAGCCTTGGTGAGAGAGCTGGGGGAGCTAAAAGGTAAAGGACATGAGAACTTGGGATGGCAGAATCTGTGACTGCCTTCCGGCTAGTAGCACCCATCATTCCCATTCCTGTGTGATCGATGTAGGAGTGTCTCAGTTTACATTTCCTCCTTTCACAGCTCTGTCCCATTTTCTTGGATCTAAAGAATTAAAATTCTTCAGGAAAGGTAGAGGTTCAGGTCTTTAGGAAGGGATTTCTCTGTCTCTGCAGTAGTGTCCCACCAGCTCTGCACAGCACAGTTAACCTCTGAAGGTCAGCAGGCTTTGACTGGAAGAGGAGCAAGAAGGAATAGGAAAGAGCTGGGGGAGAAGAAGGCATTATAAAAGCTACCAGATATTCTGCATTTACTAGAAACTGTTCAAAAAAAACTACTGATGGCCTCTTCCCCAGAAAATAGTAGCATATTTAGCTGTGTTCTGTATACATATAATGTACATACATGTTGTACCTCTAGCAGCCATAATGAAGCATTGGATGGCATAGGCAATACCTGATATATATATACATACACATATATATATATATATATCCTGCTATACCTGCTGTGTGATTCTGCTCCCTCTCACGGAGTCCAAATTTAACAGTGTCCTTGAGAACCCACTGTGCCCAAAGTGCTGCCTCTTCCTCAGGAAGTGCTGAGCAGTTTCCTCATTCTGACATTTGCTATTTATTGATCCTTGTCTGCGCTGTCTTCCTTTACACGAGGAGAGTGGTAATGTAGCAGCCTGTTTGCAGCCAGTGCTGCACTGTACTCAAGTATGAGAGAGATGTACTGAGACACACAGACCTAGAGAAATTCCCTTCTGTGCCTCTTGGCTTGTTTTCCTATTTAACTCTACCAGACCCAACTCAACAAGACCCTTCCTGTATACAGAAATGTCAAGACAAAAGCAAGACTCAGTGGAGAAAGTTAAATCAAGAAGAAGCAGAAAAAAAATGCAGCCAATCCAGAAGACATTGAAAAAGTTCATGAAGGAGTAATAGGCAAATTGTTGTGGAAAAGGAGGGAACAAGACAGAGGGAAAACTTTTATAAAAATAAACACAGAGAACAGGAGACTCAGGTCTAAAAGACAGAGCTGGAGTTAAAATTAATACAATCATACCAGTTGGACTATATACAATCAGAAACTACACACAAAAGGCCAATATATCAGCAGGCTGGGGGGAAAAAAAACCCACAACAACCCTACAACAATGAAAAGTCTCCAAAAATACCACATACTATAACAGGATCTTGGAGTAAGTCAGTCAATTAGAAAAGTGTCACAGATTACTTATGCAAATGGATGTAGTACCTGAAGTTGACAGAAGCAGCTGGTGGGTATTGATACTTTTTTATTTTCCTACTTCTTACTGCTTCATGGCAAGGAATTTTGTTGCACAGCACGTGCCAGTCATACAGTAAATGAGCAACTCTTGAAAGGAAACATACTGCATATTTTTCTGAACAGCAGATTTCTCTTCAGATTGTCTTCTAAAAACAAATCAGTTTGTAAAAATATATATTTTGGTGCTAACTTCTGCTGAAAGTACCCAGCCTCAGAGAGTGCCACGTGTTTCCCTGCTGTTTGCCCCAGCTGTCAAAAAACACTTGAAGAGTTCCTGGCTTTCCTTTTGCTGCTCACACTGTGTGCAGCCATTTCAACTGACCTAAATGTATTATTACATTGAAATAAGATATTGTAGGGCAGACTCAGATGAAAATTATGTCTTTTAGGGAAATAATTGCCAATAAACAGACATTTCCAGAATTTCCACTGGGATTGGCGGAATTGTTTATGCAAATATATCCTGTGGTCAGTCTGACATGATCAGGGTAGGGGTTCTGAGAGGAGGAAAACCCAAGCCTCAAGATGCATTATACCATGTTCTCCTAATCTCAGTAAGTGCCACCTTTCTCTTACACAATGTTTAATTATTTGCAGTTAACTCAGGACATTTAGAGAAAATTATTCATTAATTCAAATATTTGGAAGAATCAGCAAATGTGATTTTCCTCTAAATGAAACCTTCGGCTTATGAAAATAAGAAAAAGCATACTGGAATTTTTTTAGGTTTTCATATTGGTATCCAGCTTAAGAAAACTTTGCTGTCCACCAGTGACATTTTTAGGGTGACAGTAAAACAGAGAGTGCTCTGCTTTTATATCCCCCACCCTGAGATCAGTGTACTTTACTTCTGCAGAATAGCAGCTGTAAAAAATATTGAGTGGTATGAGTACTCCTGCCTGCTTACATGACACAGGCACATTCTGACCAAACTTAAAATGGAAAGTCTGAGCTCTTTTAACACCTACCAATCAATGGTTTGAGTCACTGAATACAACTGATTTTCATTCCCCACTGACATGAAATGAATTCTAAGCAGGTACAGAGGGAGATGTGCCTCTGTCTCAACTGCAATCTCAAGAGCAGAATTGATTCAACATATTTATCTTGAAAAATGCCAAGTTTTCAACATCACACATTTCTTTGCAAAGGGGTTGAGTTACATTTCATATCTTGTGATCAGCTGCATCTCTGAAGCAATGTACCTCCCCTTCATTAAAAAGAAAATATTAATGAACAAAGGTGGTGTTGTGAACACCAGCAGTCCCTGAAGAGTAAGAGAACTCCAGACATCCAAGTAAAGCATGAAAAGAGGCAGCAAACTGCAATTTAATTGCAGGAGCACACAAGATTGAATTCTGGCTGAATGAATCCAGGACCTGATTATGTGATTTTGTACAAGTTGCCTCACCCTTAGGTCTCTCTTTCCCTGTGCAATGTTTACAGCATAAACACACAAGGCAGCCAAAATACGATGCAGGACAGCCCCCAAATGTGTTTGTCTGCCCTTGCTGTGTCATTATCTGGAGGAGGAGCTGTGAAAAACAAATAAACAAACAAAAAGAAAATATGAAAAATAAATTGAATCACTTATGCTGAGATGAACTTGTAAGCCATTGTAATTCAAGTAAAATCTGAGAGGCTTTTAAGAAGGCCC